AGAAGAGATAATCTACCCGAGCTTCCGAAAAAAGTATTGTAAAATGTATAAAAAAAAATCATTAATAAATTGTGTAATGATTTACAAACTCGGAGCACTCGGGACATTCTTACCTCGAACCTTCACAAGATCTTCACGTCGTTTTTTATCTATTGGTAAGTATATTGCACCTGGCATTTCATGTTCAAGATCATTTAACTCCTTTTCTGTATATTCTGGTCCATATCTCTTAACTTCTTGATTATATATCAATACCCAGCTGTCTTTATGTTCATTAAATGTTCCCTTATCTAAATTTTCAAAGAACCAGATAAGATTAAACCCTGCTTCATCATCATATTCTAAAGCACCATCATCATCTGCTATATAAAAAAAAGCTGTTCCTCTATCAAGATCATTCATTGATTGGGGCCACCTAAAGTCTGACCCTACACAATCTACAAAAGGCATTATATTAAAGCACTGCTATTGTATTGATTGTAATCATTCAGCCTTACCTAAAAACTTCTGGGCTTGCCCAGGCTCTGTTTTATACTTATGAAGGGAATTAACCGTCTCAGGTGGATTAGACATTTTGGGCACAGAAGGATTCAGTACTTCAGACTGAATATAAAGGAAATCAACCAACTTAGGTAGATCAGATATTTCGAGAATAGAAGGATTTGGTACTTCTGACTGAATAGATGTTATATAATTAAGTATTTATTGAAAATAAATTCAATTTAATAACTCTAGAATGTTAATAGCAGAACTGAACCTCTTTCTTCTTTTTAATATTTTTCAAAAACTTGGATATCATAAATATACACTTTTCTCTTGAAATAAAGTTAATAACTTAAAAACGGTATAGTTTGAATATTCAAATGCCGTTATGGCGTTTACTTTTCTTTTTGCTGTTAGAAGCAGACATGAGCCAGGGACGGTGAATACTTTCATTAAGAATAAAACAGAATAAAATAATAATTATAGCCAATCAAATCTCGCTATTAATCATGTAATAATCATGTAATAATCTTCGGAAATTGAAATTATTTTGAAAATTAAATTTTGGTTGGCTAAAAAGTTTTTTTTTTAGTGATATCGAAATAAAATGGAATAAAATAGAATAATGGAATAATTGATGTTAGTATGATAAATATATCTCATTTGATAGGTGTTTTTAAAATACGATAAGAAGTTTATATATGATGTGTGTTAAAATTGCAAAGAATTTATTGAATTTATTAGTGCTATAGTTGTGTAAAGATAGTAAGTGTAATATATTAGAAGTTTGAATAGACGTAGAATTAGACA